AAAAAAAAAAAAAAAAAAAAACCGTGCGAACTTGACAGCGGTGGTTTCCGACCTCGCGTCACCCGTTATTTATTCTTATTTTTTTGAAAAAAAAACTACTACACCGTATATAATATCTTTGGTACCGGTGATAAAGTCAATTTTGTATAGTTTACAAAACTGTAAGAAAATTAAATTTTGAAAATACATCGTGCACCCTTCCTCCAATAAGATAATATAATAACATGTCGTATGCGAAATACAATAGAGAAAAATAAATATACTCGTAACTTCGCACGTTGGTGCAGCCACTGTTGTGGGTGGGATGTGGGAGTTTACCAGTGTGTACCTGTTAGCAACGACAAACCATTGCCCGCGAAAAATCGGTTCTGAGCCGAATTCAATTGATAGTGACGCTCTGTGGACAGTTTATGATACGCCGTATTGATGTTATAATAATGCGCGCGTTTTCGCGACAACAACGGTCGTTTGAAAAAGATTTAAAATTAATAAAAACGGTTATAATTTTCATCTTCCGATCTTTTTCTACAACCCGGAGAAAACCGGGTTTTCCCCGTCGTCTCGGAGTATCAATGAGAATTTCCAAAAAAAAAAAAAAACCGTGTGGACCCCTCCGTCGTGTAATGTAGTACCGGCCCGGACGAGCATTTCCTACGCGCGGGAAAACGCGTTCCCCGTTCCGCTCGGAATGTCAAACACGTGGGTTAATTAATTTTTTTTTTTTTTTTTTATCTCTATCGCCGCGGCGACGAGTACATTGTGTGTAATTCGTATGGAAACCAAACGGTATCGATCCCGCGCGGCGAATGCAAAAAGAAAAAACCGCTCGTCGCGGGCGTACGTTCGACGACCCGGTGCAGCGGCACCACGCGCGATCGTGTTTTTCGGCGCGTGCGTCGCGCGGCCGCGGTCCGTCCGGCGTTTTTAAAAACGTTAAAAACAGTTCGCAAACGTCATGAGCAAACCCCGCGGACTCGGCTCGTTTCGCCCGTAATAACTTAACGACATTAAAAAATAATAAATCACGCGTACGCGCGTTTAACGTACTCGCGCCGGGAACGAGCGCCCGAAATCCGATTTCGTCGACGCCGCCCACGCCGCGCGCGCACTATTGTTATTTTTCGACGGACCCGCGTCACGCGTCCAGTGCTCTCCAGTACGGCCCATTCTCGATCTGACGCTCTGGCGCGTCCGCGTCCCGCGCTTTTTCACCGTCAGCCGGGGCGACGGGGGGTGGGGGGGGGGTAGAGGGATGGTGGGACGGACGGTCTTTTCCGCGTCGGGTTCTTTTCCGGAGGAATGTACGCGCGCGTTACACAGCGATACGATCTTTTCTCACTTATCCGGGCGTGCCCTGCCCATTAAAATAGGCTCGTGTTCCCGACGGATTACGCGACGGCGTTCGGTTCCCGAGACGTAGGGATTCGAGTCGCTATAATATCGCCGTAATATTTTCTTTTCGTGCTCGGCACTCGATACGTAGGAGAGTCGCGTTCATTTCCGACGGGTTTCGGTTTCCGTGCGCGGTTGCGCGGTTCGCCGCGGACGGGAAACCGCGATTTGTGCAGGTGTTTGAACGCGTTTTATTTTGACACGTCTTTCCTATCCGCCCCGCGAATATGGGTACTCGCGTATACGTTTAAACATGCCCTTTTGGCTCGCGGAAGAAAACGTTATAATTTTCTCAACGGCGGCTTTTGCGGTCTGTACACGATGATGACGGTGTATATGATGCGCGTAGCGATAATATATACGTGTACTGTACGTATATGCCGTGTATACGTGTGCGCTGAGCGGGCGGCGGCGGCCGATAAATCACTCCGGGTGCCGTTGTGTGCGTGTGTGTGTGTGTGTGTGTGTGTGTGTGTGTGTGTGTGCCCCGGCGTGTGTATTATACACGCGTCGTAGGGAGGGCGTTGGGGGGTGGGGGAGCGGAGGACGGACGGGGTTACGGATCTAACAGCGGCGGCCGCGGTGACGACGGTGACGGCGCGCGCGGTAGCGTCGGACAGCGGCCGGGGGGGAAGGGGGGGTGCGAGGATGACGCGGCGCGGGATGGGTGGGGTGGGGGGAGTCGAGCGAGAGGAGAATTGAGACGTCATACACGAATTATATTCTCTCCCGAAAAACTCGTCTCCCGCTCAATCGCTCTCTCCCTGTACAACATCGCCTCCGCTCGCTCGCTCGCGCAGCCGGGCACATTGTAATAATACGCGGCGTCATTATCGTTATTATTATTATTGTCGCGCGCGCGTCCGCTTGTGCGTTATACTCCCGAGAGAGATTTCTCGGACGCGCACAACCGCCGACACCGAGTGTCCCGCCAACGATACCTACGTAATATTTTACGTGCACGCGTGTGTAGATATGTGATATATGTACCCAATAGGTACGCGTTATAAAACGACGTATGGATATCGGCGTACGCCGTACGATACACGCGTAGGCATGTATACGCGTTACGCGTCGTATTGTGTACGCGCTCTTATCGGAATACAATATAATAACATAGGGGGCGATATATTATGTTGTGTGGATACGTATTAGAAGCATCGACGGCTACGATGACGACGACGACGACGACGTCGGCTGTGCGGCAGCGATCGCGCGCGTACGATACGCACGCACACACGCACACACGCACACGCGGACACCACCACACACGCACGCCGAAGTCCGACGGCCATGTTGGATTTTGGGTGTGGTGCCGGCAGTCACTCCCATTTTCGATTTGTAACTGTCAGTCAAACGGGCCGCGGGGCGACGCCTAGCCCGGACGCCATTGGCCGGCGTCCCCGCGCGCTCCGGGTCCCGTCGCCGTCGTATCGGTTTTAATAAATTACTCGTCATTTATATTAGCGCCGCCGCCGCGCCGTCATACGCGTCCCCCTCCGCGCCGCAGCCGCCGTCCGCCAGCGCCGCGCGACTCTCACCTGCCCGCCGCCCCGCTCCCGCGGCCGTCGGTCCGCGCGGTGTCGTCGCCGCGTGTCCGTCGTCCGGCGCACGCAGGCAAGTGCTGGCACCTGGCGGCCGACTTTGAAACGCCGCGGTCGCCTTTCCGGCCGCAGGTACGCGTCGCGTGCCGGATTCGCGATTCGTTTACGTATTATTATTACCTATAAAACATACGATACGATTTTCGTGAATTTACAATTTTTTTTTTTTTTGTCCCTCTGAATTCCGGGTATATCGAATACGCTTTGACAATCGAAAATCGACTCGCGCGATCAGCGATAAAACAATTCAAATTATTACTCCCGCCTCGCAATCAGCTGCGCCGCGCAAAACGGATGTTATTCATACGCGATTGCAGTTTCGTCAATCTCCGCAACGTCCGTACACACATTTCCCCGTACGTTACACGCGCCGCGCTATTTCATAATACTGCAAAATCTGTTTTCCGCGCATAGCGTATTGTACACAATGTAACAATGACTACCGGTCGCCTCGCGATGTTTCGTACGTCGACAATTTTGGATTTTAATTTTCCGTTTTTGTGCGCTAACGATAAAATTTACGACCTCCGCGCGGCCCGTATTGTGCGCTGTTGGCAACGGTTTAAGACGTAACGTTCGACAATAAAACGTTTTGTTTGCTCCGAGAACGCACACACAGTTTTTACGCGGTTCGCTAACTATGTATCGGATATGTGATTTATATAAACAATGAAATCTCATACTGCACGCTGCAGCAGTGTGTACGGAAACGTATTATATACATATATTTATTTATTTCCCCTTTTCGTGTGTGTGTATAATGTATACGATTTTCTTTTATTTATTTATATATATATATATATATATTGTCGCGTAAAGAATTTTCAAATACATCATCTTTATAACAATACTGTGTTATAATATATGGGGTTACGAAATATATAATGGTTTTGAAAAAAAAAAAAAAAAATGTCTATAAATATATATATATATTAGAAGAGTGAACATAATGTTATTATACGTTAAGAACGAGAAAAAAAAAATAAAGAGTCGCCTGCAATTATATTGCGACATTGGAGTTGGACCAATATCTTGTGTCCTATGCGTACATCAGTTATCGTGTGGGTTTATTATTTTTTTTTTTTTGTCCTCCGCGTACGATTTTTCTACCGGAAATCTTACTGTCCCGATCAAAAAAACGACAAGAAAACGTTTTGTTGTTTATATTACCTGTCTGTATATCCTGCGGTGTCCTGCATCGGTAATGGTATGTGACAGAGAAATTTTTCGATTTCCCGAGCAGTTTTCATAATAATTGTGAAAGAAACGCGCACGAATACGAGAAAATACGGAACTATAAACGGTTTCATTGTTTTTTATTTTTTTGTTTTTTTTTAATATTCGATTAAAAACAATCGTATAGACTTGAAATTTTCGCCGAATAACTAAATATATCTAGGTATATTTATACAAATGTTGTATATTACTATATGTAAATATATATTTTTCTCAGCATAGTGACGTTTTTAAAATATTGTGCCGAATTTCCAGTTTTTTTTTATTGATGTTTTACTTTTTGATGTTTATATTTTTTTTTTATTTTTAGTTTTATTCAACATTTTGTGGATAAAATTGTTTCGGGCGATAATAATTATACACAATATTCATCATAATAGTCGTAGGTATTTGGTGGTAAAAAAAGTTTTTTTTTAAATATCCGTTTAAAATTCAAATTTCAACGGAAATCATGAATTTCAAAACAATTGTTTAACCGAACTTCGTTCAGAATCGTTTTTCGTCAGCAATCATTTCCATCGTTGTGCACAAATATAATAATAATAATATATATATATATATATATATATTTAATTTAAATAGTCCCAGCTAGTTTTTTTTTTCGAGTTTTATACAATATATATTAAAATCATATATGTATAATGTATACATAGTTGTTTTCATAATTTAAGATTTGGTATTACAACTTCTAAAAAAATTGGCATTGTACCCGCGTAACTATTTTCAGCAAAAAAAAAAATATATACAATATAATAAGGTATGTTAATCTATATGATACATCCTACATTTTAAATTTTGAAAATCTAAAACAATAATAATTTGATTTCTATTATGAATGCTATATATATTTGAATCACATTATTTAACCAGCGGTGTTCCCATAGGGTACTCTGGGTATACTCCATATCTCATACTCTCAACATTTTGTTGAAAAATCACGGGTGTAATGCGTGTGTACTCTCAAATAGTTAAAAAAAAAAAAAATACAGTAATGAAAACTGTATTTATTTCAGCAATTATTAACTGAAATTATAATAATAACTGATATTATAATTATATGCAATTATAATAACTGAAAATTTCCCGATTTTCCTAAAATACGTATGAGTAGTACTTTTTTTTTTTAATTATGCCAAGTGTTTAGTAAGAGTAATTTTAATTTATACTTTGTATAATTATCTCCCTGTAAACAATATAATTCATAAATAATAAGATATCGAATTGGGCGTTGCAGTAAGTATAGTCTCAAAAAAATAAATGGGAACATTATCGTGTATAGGTATACACATAATTATTTAATCAATAATTTATTAATAATTATATCAGGGTTAAAAAAAAAAAAAAAACATAACAATAATTACTTTATAATTTTCATGGTATTACTTATATTTTAATTTATATGAAGAACGTATAATATTTAAAATTATATACGTAGGTATTTTACAATGTATAATAATTATTACATTGCTGTATGAAAACTATAAAAAACTAATTTACTTTTGTACATACCTATATAGACTATATAGTAATTAGTATAATTATACTTACCTACTATTAAAATGTATATAAGTAAAATAAGTAAGTACAACTTTAATTTTTCATAATTATATATATTCTATATTCACAAAACACAATGATTGATATCAAACGGAATAGGATACGTAGCAAATTAAGTTGTATATAACTACGAAAAATAATTGTTTAGTGTAAAACTATACATATTTTAAATTTTAAATAGAAAAAAAAACTCCCAAAAAATACCGTATTGCCGTCGTTAAATATAAACTAAATACAACATTATAAACATTAATAAATTATGATTTATTATAGTTGATACGGTATTACTCTCCGTTATACGCAAGTAAAAATAAATAAATAAATAATAGTTAAATTAATAAATTAAATTTCTTAAACGTTTAATCGATGCGTATATTGAAAGTTTGATCATGTTTAGTTTCTAAGCGAAGCGAATCTTGGTTTTACTAAAAGTTTTATTTCCAGTCAGTAATCAAATTTTCTTTACGATAAATCTAGATCCGATCAAAGAGTATGTGCAGATAACTGGTGATAAATTTTGATTAGTTGGTGTGTTAAAAGAGTAATATTATTTTTCCTTGTAGTTTTCTTAATAATTGGTGGGATACACCGGGAAATTGTACGCATAATCAACAAAGGTTTTTATTATATTTTCGATTTTCTGTTTTTATTGTACTTAATTCAATGAAAAATACTCAAAGACATCTGATATTTGCAGCAGTTATTGAAAATAGCCATTACTAGACGCGGTCAAATTTTCAAAAAATTCTGGCAATTTTTCGACCTATTTATAGAAAATAGATTTTTTTAGTTTTTAGTTTTATTTGCTTTTTTGTTAATAAATGTCTTTGGCTCAGCCGAATTCCTCCAATATTTAACATGAAGTTCATCTTCATAAGTTTTACTAAAGCGATCATCCAAACATTTGAGATTGTAACGTAGAAGTTTATTTCAAATTGTTTTCAAAGTTTCAAATTTTGACCAAAAATTAAGGAATTCATTACATGTTTTTTCTATAATTTCTCGTTCAAAATCGTGTTTCGTCAGAAATAATTTATCGTCGTGTACGGATATGAACATAGTTAGTTATACCTTATTAATTGACCTAAACTAACCAGCATAATCCTGTACGAGAGACATATAGCGACGAATGACGATGCATCCAAAATTGACCTGGCTGTTTTCCATTTTCAATAACTATACTTGCAAATGAAAAATCACTCCGCTGTGGAAAGAATATAGAGATAAAGGAATCGCATTAAAATATTTTAATGAAAAACTTTATTTTCGAAGTTCAAATCAATCTACATATAGTTATAATTAACTTTATTTAACATATTTAAAATTAATATGCAAATCAAGAGTTTACTATCTCACGAAAAACCTTTTTACAGAAACATCGTATATTATAAAAAAAAAAATAAATAAATAAATAAAAATAGTTAGTGTGTCCGATCATTAAGCGAAACTGGAAAAAAAAATATTTTTGAAATATTCAGTATAATCGATATAATATATATTATTGTCCCTTTTATATCGAGAGACGTTTCATTCGACCGTAATCTTTAAATGTTGATCTTTTTGGGGAATTCGTTTCGCTCCCACACAGACATACATACGCACACACACACAAATCGGTTAAATGCCCAAAACACGACACGTCCGTTTCAATGTCGTCGAAACGAATACCTTTATAATATACGAGTATATAATGTGCAGCTCCTTCGGGCTGTCATACCTGCACACCATATGGGCACGGAAATTGTTATTCGGTTGTCTGATTCGATCCGTGGCATTGCGTTATTTATCTTTTTATTTTTTTCCATAATATATTTGTATTTTAACATACTTATTATAGTTGTATTTTTATTATAATATAAAACGCACGTTGATTAATATTATATATATATATATATATATACGTCGGACACAATAATGCTGCACGTTTTTACGGGCCAATATCTTCTCCGCTGGAGTCTGAAAACCCTCTCGTCGCATATGTATAATATGTATATCCGTGTATAATACGCTTACCTGTATAAAATATTATATAAATACTTTACTCGCACACACCTATATCGTGAAAAAAAATATATGTTTTTTTTAAGAAAAAAAAAAAAGAGAAAAAAAAACCGTCTCTTTACACACACATCTGCAGTAGCATTACATATATATATATACCGTCTCGGCCGTAAGTCATTTATTCTCGTATATATTACCGTACGTATAGCCTACCGGTGGCCCATGAATTATTTATCTAAAACAATGACGACAACAACAATATTATAAACTCGCGGTTTCCTTTAAATGCGTTATGATATGATAAATACGTTTTTTCTACGGATTTTTTTCCCTCCCGGCGGTCACATGATGTCAATATTCTTCCATATAGCCCCGTTGTGTTATCCGTAACGATGTGACGCGCTATAGGTTATTTCTCGCAGTAGAATAGGTGTATATACGTTATACCGAACCTCGGGGTGCATTATTACGCGACCCCGTCAGTAGATTTGTTTTTTTAATGTTAAAGAAAATATTATCGTAACATGTTTATTTTGCGCACGTACATTTTTCGGTATAATTACCGCGGCGGATTTCTAAAACGCGAATCACTTGAATTGAAAATGGAAAATTCTCTATGTTTAAACAGCATGTATCTCTCAACATATGTTGTAGAAACACGTTTTTGAAAATCGTTCGAAATTTTAACGTGACCCGTCAAAAGTTTTGCTCTTTCACGTTTTTTCCTTACTCTCCTCCCCCTCCGTGTTGGATTGACCTGAACACCCGCCTGATTCTGTTCATGGCTTCAAGTAGCACAACGCGGCAAAGGGTACTGGAATACCTAAGTTCCGTGCGGTGATTTTCCAAACTCCGGATTGTGCATATTATAATGATATTAATATAGTTAAATAAGATTCTATTTAAGCGCTTTAAAAGGTATGGGAGGACTGGGAGTTACTTCGCGCCGCCCCAGCTAATTCTATCTAGCCAATTAAAACATTATATTTAATATAATTTTACATAAATCGTCTGGAAATTCGCAGAAATACTCGAAATACTACGTAAATTTACTTGAAATCCTCCGGAAAAATCGCCGAATTATTATACGAGTATTATGTAAATGAACCTCCCTGTATGTAATATAATATGTTTATAATTTTTTTTTTTTTTTTTATTTAAATAGACAGGTATACATTATAATAATGTATATTATATTTATATAGCTGATGACGATGTATTCTATATTATTATGTAAATGAGTCGCCGAGCGAGGGCGGCGCGCGTTTGGGTACACACATTAATTAACGTTTGTCTTAATTAGTCGAATTATTTGCGAGTATCCGTGTAAAACGTTTCGTGTGTACATAGGTACAATATATATAAATAACGTTGGTTTCGACGTGGTGAACAGAAAACAATTTCCGTAAGTATATTATTCACGGGCCAACCTACCTAATAATTAACGCGTACATACAGAGTGGTTAACATAACGCGAGGTATTCGTTATCTCGGAAAATCGATCGGATTAACTCGACTTCGGAATTTGTTTTTTTTTTTTTTTTTTTTTTTAATTTAATATTCAAGCCACTCGCCTTAAGTGTTCATGTCACGCAAATTTGATACGCTCGTATTTTCATTATTTGTATACCTTATTAATTACCGATTGTATAAATTAACTAATAAATATTTAAAAAAAAAAAAAAATCAAGAAACGAGCGGATCTAAAATTTCGCTCACCCCCTTATTTTCGGTGGTAAGATCGACGCTCACTTTTGTTTTTCAAATAGCGACTTATATTCGAAATTCCATAAATAGACGACGTTTTAGTACCTATTTTAGTTTTAAATTTTGATGTGGGGGGGAATACTGGATAGTTTTAAAGCTGCTTGTTTATTCAATTTTCTAAAAAAATTCCGGGAAAATTAATGTTTTCCGAGACGATGAGTGTCTTACGTTATGTTAATCATACTCTATATGTTATAATAATATAGACGTGTGCATAATACTCGCTAAGTTTTCATTTTAATCGTGTGCTTTTATTATTATTAATATTATATTTTTTTGTGTGCGGTTCAATTATCATAATAGCCGAGATGATTAGACAATTTATAGTAATACTGCGTGTGTACGTATATCATCACAATAATTACCTACGTTTTGAAAATTGGTCTGACTCTTACAATTGTTGTAAAACGCTCGTCTTTCCCATCAGCTGCGTTCATCAGTGTTGTGCTCTATTATATCAAGATAAATCATCTGACGATCATCATAGATATGGTTTTATGAAAAAAAAAAAAAAAAAACAAAAAATCTTTCCTTATATCCGTATGAACGGGAAATAATAAGTTATCTGAAACGTTATCTGAGACGAATCACCATTACACTATTAAGATAATTACATCTGTGTGTAGGTACATTTATTTTAAATCGTTTAAATAAGTGTTAGAAATAATCTGTTTATATATATATATATATTTTTTAAATTTAAATGCGTACACATTTAATACAATCATCTCCTATATTTATCTAGATATATTTAAAATTTCACGTGACACTGCATAAGCGCAGCCAGCGTTTTTATGCTCTTTTCGAATATATATCCACAGGATTAAATTCAAACATCGGGGCCGTTATTTTATTAAACAAATTTAGATTTTTTTACGTACAAAGAGACTAATAATGTAATCGGGATATTTTACAGACAATTTTTTTTTTTTTAATTTCCAGACAACGTTTATTATAAGTTTTTTTAAAAAAAAAAAAACTTTTGCCGCTGCTATAGACCCTCTTGAAACCCATTCTCTCCTCAATCCGGCTGAACATAATGTATTTGTATACATTCAATTTAGATTCATGCGAACAGCGACGCGATATAGAAATCAATTTGTGTGTCGCGCCATATTTTTTTTTTCATGTACCGTATTTTTGTCGAACCCGATCGTTTCGTCGCGTATGCAAATGCGTATACTAACAACAACAATGATAATAATAATAATACTCAGTATAGGTAGCCCCTCCCCTAAAAATCGCGCGCGTATACATTCACCAACGTCTCAGGAGTATAGGATTGCGTTTTGCGGGCGAGTCACGCGCGCGTATATAAAAAGTTTTTACACGTCTTGTATTTTTTTTTTCGCCGTTTTCTCGAGAAATCAATACCCGCTCGTTGCTATAAATATATATATATATATATATATAAATGTATACACGTACATTATTGTAATATCGCGTCTTTCCGTCGTCGTCGTCGTCGTCGTCCAATTATATGTATACGTATACGTATGTATGGAAACCGTACGCGACTACAACGTCGTCATCGCCGTCATGATATTCGCGCGTCGCGTGGTGTTCGAATTTTTCAAACGGACACGAACGCACAATATCGAATACAATCATTATTATTATTATTATTATTCGTCGTTGCAGTCGCCGGTCTGGCCGGGATCCAATAATTCGCTCGTATTTTCATTATTATTTTATCTTCATCCGCGAAACGAGGATCGGGTGTACGCGCGCGCAAACGATATAATATGAATAAAAAAAAATGAATAATAATAATGATGATGATAATGAAAAAAAAAACCGCGCTCGCCGTACCTGTAATACACCTCTGCAGTATACGTGTACAACGTGCACGGGTACATCGCGAGAAATTAACATCCTGTCGGTCATTATAATAATATTATATTGTCGTATGGCCGACGCGTGTAGGCCGTTTACTTAACGCGCGTATGCATAACGTACCCGCCGAGACAGTTACACGCCGCGCGGTCGTGTTTAAGGACGGGGTGGGTAAAAGGGGAAACGACAAAATACACACGCGTAATATTTTATTTACGCGCACATCGGCGGATGTAATGTAGCCGGCTGCGGGTGTGCACACCGTGCGCACGCAGGTACAAAACACGACAGCTCTCACGTTACACGCGCGCGTTGTTTTTGCGTGTAACGTGTATTTTAATAATATTTTGTGTGCGCGCGCGTGTGTGTGTGTGTGTGTGTGTGTGTAAATTACGACACAAAAACGAGAGCTCGGGCCCCGTGTACATGTTATCTGCACTTTTAATCGGACGTAAAAAATACAATATTATTGTATTGCAGCGCGTTGCGGGTCTCGCGTTCGAGGGAAAATAACTAATAATATTATACCTGTAACGCGCGGGAGCTGGCGGAAAAACGAGTCGGGAAAGCCCGCCCGCTATGCACGGGCGCGCAAAGTCCCCGGGTTCCGAACGCGCTTCGAACGGTCGGCTATATACCCGGTAATATAATTCCGTGTGCGATTTCGAAAGCTTTCGGTACGGTACAGTCTGTCCGTGTACTGGGTATTTTAATTTTTTATTGTGTGCTTGCGCGCGCGTAGAAACTTAAATTATTAAAACGTCTCGATTCCCGAACAGTCGACGGGGAAACGTTTAAAATTCTCAATGCGCCCGTTTGTCGGTGTCACCTATATACCTTCCCCTTTCGGTATTGGCGTACGCGAATTAATAACGGTAAAAAAATCCGACGAATACTAAGAATATGTATGTACGTTACGAACCGATAAAAATTTCCTCGCCGACCGAAATCAACAACAACAACCGTATTGTGACAGTAATAACGCATATGTGTTTTCAAAACGACAAAAACCGTTTTTTATTCGAAAGAGATCGCTCGCTGTCGATTATCGTTTTTACCTTTGTCCCCCCCCTCCCCCGTATTATTATATTATATATCTGCCATTGTTATTATTTCTTTACGTTTTTTTTTTTTTTCGTACAAAAGTTGATTAATACGATCGCGTATTATTGTGCAACGCCGCCGATCTCTTCCGAATCTTTTCACACGGGACCGAGGAGAGAGTGTGTGAGAGAGATGAGGTACAAGAAAAAAAAAAACCCCCCATCAACGGGTACTTTTTTTTTCGCCGCAGCTATCCGTCTCGCCGTTCTCTATATAATATTATTATGTACGGCCCGGAGTAACGTTTTCGTAAAAATATAACGCGAACGGCGACGGAGCAGCTGTCGCGTTCTCTCACACGCCCCCGTCGCCGCCGCCGCAGCCGTACGTCTCGCGATGCCTCGTCGCGTCCTTTTCATCTGTAAAAATATTTTGCCGACGCCGCCGCCGGAGGCGGGTGAATAGAGAACTACGCTTTTATTTTATTTTTCCCCTCTTATCTTCTCCGTCGCCGTCGTCTCCGTGTTTTGTCGTGTGTGCGCACACAAACGGCCGGTGTATACACACAAACTGCCGTCCGTGTGCGCGTGTGTATATTATTATTATTATTATTATTCGTATTTATATTATACGCGCGTATACACGAGAGGTGAACGAGCGCGGAAACTCCGCCGGATGATTAATGCAAAAACGTCGAGTTCGATTCTGTCAAAAGGAGTAAAACCCCCGGGCGCGGTAGACGAACGGTACCGTCCGGGCGCGCGGCGCGCGGAGCGGCGAAAGGGGCGAGTGGCGGTGGTGGTGGTGGTGGTGGTGGGCACAGCCAATCCCGGAGCGGCGGCGGCGGCGGCATTCATCTTGCGAGGAATTTATCATTGTCCCGCCGTTGACGAGGGCGGCCGCGGTAAGGGCGCGGGACTCGCACACACACACACACACACACACACACATATATATATATATATGTATGTATACGTACCGGAGGAGAGGGTCGCGGCCGGCGGGTACGGGAAACGAGCGAGGGATGTTGTCGTGTCGTGTTTGTCAAACAGCGTCGCTGTGTACGCGACGACCCGCTCCTCCGCGGCCGTTTTCGTCTCCGCGCGCGCGCGCTCGCGCTCGCTACTACACCGGTGCAGTCGTGGTGTATGTGTACGCGCGTTATATTATTATAATACTATACGTATATGCGTACATCCGCATCGCGGGCGGACACCCCGTTTTCCGCCGTCATGTTCGGTGACTTCGGTATACGCGTACACATACACGTACACGCGTATATTCCACCCGGCGTCGCGTACATTTACAAACGAATATTATCATAACGCGTACGCATACGGTGCCAGTACCCCGGCCGTCCGTCATCCGTCCGGTCGTGCGCACTATATACACACACACACACACACACACGCACGCACACAAACACACACGCGTCACGTACGTTATTATTGTCACTGTTGCGCGCACACCACGGCCGGACCGCGAAACCCCGCGGCAATTATTTCGCTGTCGGCCCTATCGCGCGGATACTGACGAACCTGCGGGCGGCGACACGCGCGCGTACGACCGAGACCTACCGTTCTCTATTTACTATAACCTATATATACATAGGTTATATACGGGACGATTCGCCAAGCGCGCTGGCCCCATTTTTTTTTTTACCGGTTACGTTTTGCACAATATATACATATATATATATATTTCAAATTCCGATTTTTCAGCGTAGTTATTAGCGATCTTTCGCGATTTTTTCGCATACCCGGGTTTTTCGCGACATTCGAGTATTCATAAATATATACGGAGTGTTAAGTACTTTAAATCAATTTCGGCGCCAAACGTTTTTGTATTCCGTCAACCTTTTAACGAGATATTTCACTATTAAGTTGGGGTAGGCGGGGAGAGTATATTGGAGTATCATATATTTGTGGCGGCACGGCGCGCAGAATTTTATTAGCGCTGAAATTTTAATCCCAAAATTTATTTAAACCATAATACTCCGTCTATTTGTGGAATATTTAATTTAAATTCTCATTTGAAAAGCCAACGGTTGGTATCGCCACAGGATATTCCTTCAATGTTGTGGAAAATCCGAGTATACGAAAATATCAGCTTCATTAAAAAATTCTCTAAATCAGAATTTTGAATATATTATGGAAAATGTAACCAAAAAAATGGTGTGAGCACGCTTAGTGAATCACCCTATATATATTAGGGTGCCGGTTATTCATACAAAAAAAATTTTTTTATTCAAATTTTGAAGGGCGGTGGCCGAAAATTTGTTTCCTAAAAACGAGTGTCCTAAATGTTAAGCTCTATTATACATATTTAACACGTGCCGATTTAATAGCTCAAATAAGTTCTATGAAAAGGGATAAAATTGGTAAAAAAAACTTTTGGCTTATAATTGATCAATTTTTAAAAATAACGAACAAATCTTATAGAATCATATTTTTGTAGACCTGGTAATTATCTGATATTATCCTAGTCATTTTTCGTAGAACTTTGAGCTTAATCCGGCACGTGTTTAATATGTTTAATTGAGCTTAAAATTTAGGAAACTCATTTTTAGGTGTAACCTAAAAATTTGTTTAACCGATTTACGGCCAGCACTGCTTAGATTGTACAACTTCGAAAATAATTGGCTAGGGTGCCAGTTATACATATTGAGTCAAAAAGGACTAATCTCACTTTTAATAAATGTTGAGAAATTCAAAATTGTACAATTTTACAATTCTATATGATTGGCCATATAGATCGTTTTCATCGAAATAATGGCATTGGCTCTTTTTAACCCGAGCCCCAGGTATGTATATTATCGCAATAGTATTACGCATGGTCAAACTTGAACTTGAAAATATTATAACAATTTACTTATATATTAATAATGATTTTATACTTAAACCCGGCATCGACGGGTAATTATTCAGCCAGTTGGTGCATACGATAATATGATATACATAGGTGAAAATTCAATCAAGAAATTACGTTTTTCATTTTTATCCCTTTTAACCCTTTTAGGGGTTGAATTTCACAAAACCCGTTCCTAGCGAAGACACCTCCTACTAATATAACTTCCTACCTATCAAATTTCAGCTTCAGTGGTCAAGCAGTTTTCGAAATTTCGTGTTTAATCGAAAATACCACTCTCTTTTATATTATATAAAATACGCTGCCGGTTTGAGGATTTCTACTATTCTAGATAACGTTTTACCACGCGGTAGTTTAACACTATATTATAATCGACAGATTTTAACGGATTTTAAAAAAATCTATCGAAATTTACTGTAAAAATCATACTACGAGAACCATTTTTAACATCGCGTTCTTCTATTTTATACAGTATAATACATATGTTGCTATAATTATTATACAATGTGTTTTAGGGGAAAGTGACCGGCTGGCGTCATATGAAAGTGCTCCGAAAATGACAGACCCCATTTAATGTAGTGGGTCAATATTTTTATGTTTTAAGTTATGGGCAATTAAATTTTTTTTTTTAAATTTGTATTTTTAAAAAAATATCACATATAACTCCGAATAATTTCCTATTTACTACCGTTTTTTGTTTTATTTTATTATTCTGCTGAAAAATTTCACAATATACCTTAAAAGTTCTATTTTCGTATAGATTACAACGCAGTCATATAGTCATTTGATAAAGTGATAACCATACATCAGTATAGTGCATCATTCGTCAATACAGGCGTATTATGTTCGAAATATGTTTTTATGTAAATATGCAACAAATTCATACTTGCGTGTACCCCTCGTAAAATACTATTAAAATAATCATAAAAACCGTCCTAAAAATGTGTAAAACTATAATTTATTAGGTACACTGTTGTAATTGAAGAATTATGCACGCGCCACCGGATATAATCCGAGAGATTCCTGAATACACGTGCGCGAGTGTACTTTATATGGACATTTACAGAACCTAACCGAGTTTGCACAGAGTCTGAACGCGGTCGAGTCGGTTTCGGGGATATATATACCGTATGTAGGAGTTTCACAAAACATGTGACGCATCGACACTTGCCGCTACAAACCCGGTAATGCCCCAAAGGAAGTCGCATATAGGAAGTTCCCGATAAACCCAAAGCTCAGTGTACCAGTCGACGAAAAGCCCGTGACGGTTTGCGTATTTGCGTAGCCGCTTATCGGTCCGAGCAGCCTCTGCAAACACGCGTACCCCCCGCATACCCCTAAAACATCGCCGTGGCGTAACGTGTGGCGGCAAATCTCGACCGTACGTTATTGCGCGTTTTATAATAGGATATGCGACGCCGTAGTTCGGAAACCCCAGCGGAACGTCGTATTGAGTAATGGGTATTTTTATTTTTTTTTTTCATCTACTTCTTCGATTTTCATTAACCTTTACGTTTCATAAATGAGTAGGTACGCGTATACCGTTGATAATCGCGATGAATAGAACTGCGCGTCGGGCGTATACCGCACATTACGCAATATCACCTGTGCACGTACATATATTTATATGTATATATATACACATAACTGGTGTGGTCGAAGGTGGATTTTTTTTTTTTTTTTAATACTTTGCGCGAATTCGTCGTTCGTGACCTTTCAGTAGACGGACAATGGGACGGCGTACACGGGACCAACCGAGGAGAAAAAAAAATCCATATAAATACGACAGTGTATATATTCATCCGGGAGCCGCTACTACCTGAATTTTTCTGTAATACCGATTTCGTGTCTATCGTCCGTGTTCGGCGGATGTTATACTTTTTGTATTATTGTTGCGTATCATATTATGTATAGATAGGTAGCTATAGGTATACCTCGCGTACACCGCGGTGCGCGAGTTTCAGGTGTTTACCTATGTATATAATAATATATAATACGCCTGTATACCGACACGGTAAAGAAAACGCCGCCACCTGTAGTTATAAAAAAAAAAAAAAAAAAATGAAGAAAAAAAAAGTATTTTTGATTAAAAATAAAAATCCGTATCCCGATGGGGGTTACCCCGGCATGACGCCATCATTGAAATCCCAACATTAGCTCGCGTTTCTCGCGGCGGCGGGCGCCTACCGCGGTTACGATATTAATAAATAATAATATTCGTATCCCGAAACGCAACTGCGATACGATAATCAATTGACACGTTCGAATATCGTTCGGAAACGTATAAAATACGAACTGTACCTATAAAATACCTTTCGAAACGTGTTTTTATTAGGTTTTTTTTTTTTTTAAAATCCGAGACCCGACCTATCTGTGTTGTATAGTCACCGGTCGAACGGTTAGGTACCTACCTGTATTGTTTTTTAACCGCACGACGAATTCGTCGTTTTTTAAATTTTGAGTGATGCAAAGGAACTTACGGTTTTACAATGTTGATGTTTATTAATTTTTTTTTTTTTTCTGTGGACAACTTTTCTACCAGCACTTTTTCTCTGATTTACAATGATACCGCTTCTTCTTAATGGAAATCTGATTGGGGAGGTACTGGGGAAGTCGTTTTTTGATTTTCTCAGGAGTTTCCCAATAAATGGAAAATACCGGGAAAAACGGGAAAATAGGTACAATATTAAACAATTAGTATTAAAGAAAATATATAATGCGTATGCAATTATTTTACCATATTATGACTTATATACTGTTGACACGCTGTCAACCAAACTCCGCTCAGAATTGTTTTTTCGTTAGCAATGGTTAATCGATGCTTACAGATATACATTAAATTACCTATACAAGTAGCTGCACCCGTCCTTTTTATTCTAGAACAGCTTTATTTATAGTTTATTATTGAGTCGCGGACTTGGAGTCCAATTACATCGAGTATACTTGTACGACATTTTATGCATATACAGATTAAAGAGAAAATAAAGCAACTATATTTTAGTTTTTATGCTACAATTTCACTTAATATTATTTAAGAGATAAAAAGAAAAAAGGAAACAACACATTGTGTCTCGGTATTTTTATTAGGTCGTGTATAATACAATGTTCGTTTTTATAGATTTAATTTCGGAATTTTATTAGCTAGGAAAAAAATATAACGAATATACATTCGGGATAATGCGATTAATTGACATTAGGAATTATTTGTATTTAACCCGTAATCTATATTATGTACATTTTTTTTTATCATTATGTCATTCTTAAAAAAAACCACTGTAATAATATGCGATTATTTATTAACTGTATACATAGAAATAATATCGTGTCGTTTGGTTTTTTATGAATTTATAAACGGTAATCGCGTTATTCTCGCACGTATTGTAATAATAAGTGATAATTTTGTAAGGTTTTCAATTGTATTTGTAACGTTAAAAAGTCATTCATTGAAATACAGCAGTTTTACCCAATGAATATCATCGTCCATCCATTTCAATGTCGCCATTGCATTATAAATCATAATATTACAAAATAAATTCAACCATTCGCGAAAATTCAATTCACATACCGTATTATTGGACGTATATTGAATTATTCGAATCACTAGATGTCCGTTTCAATCAATACATCGGCGGCAGTAAAAATAACATAATCACATTACGTGTGAATAATTTATGTATCATACTCGCGTATGAGTATACATGTATATATTTATATATCTACGGTAATTATTAATATACGTGGCATCTACTTCGATAAACATGTTATATAATTCACGAGACCTGAATTTATACAAATTTATTTTTTTTTGAAAATATACACATCGGAGATGTTTTTTGTCGGGATGACAATATAATTCTTTTAAAGTATAATTCCTTTTATCATTTTATCAGGTTTGATTACCAATTTCCCTAACTACATTTACAGAACGGTTATCCCTCTAACCGCAGATAAACCTGATAAAACGATAAGGATAGAATGCAACGGTAGTAGGTATAAATATTTTAAAATGTAATAGTTGTTAACAATAAAAACTCGAAAGAAACTGACAAATTAAATATTAAACATTTATTGTCGTTTCTTTGTTTATAGGTAATGTACGGCATATAATAATGTAAATAGATAAATAAAAACTTTGTTTATAGTGCAACACAATATTGTTTATTTATTTGTGGACAGTTTCTGTCGGTTTAATATTGGTCTTATATCTTATTGTCTATATCACTATTGGCCTTATGTATCGACATCAATATCTGTGACGGATATTATAATAATATATGTTTACGAAAAAAAAACTTACGACTGTCGCAGTCGGGGGAGGCGGTATTTTGATGTTTATGTGCGTCGTACTATATCGTTGTTCTTCGTATAATTGCATTACTGTGCGATCTTCGTAGGGGTTAAGGTCGTAATATAATAGGTGATTAAATGTGCGAGTTTTTTGTCGTCTCATAGTTTTCAATTATATTTAAATCGAAATGTTGTGATTCTTTTCCTACGCTATTGGCTGTAATATATACGTTGCGAATTCGAATTTTTCGCGGTCTATACCGTCTCATATTACAATATAATTTATAGATACTCGTATATTTTTTTCAATTTATTATTATTATTATTTTTTTTATTTAACGCGTAGCAGCACATAATATTACATAATGCACAGTAATATTTATCTATTATATTTGTCGTATCGTTATATAGTCGTGACGTATAAATCGACACTGTACACGTATAAATAAAAATATATATTATATTAGTACTATATATAGACTTGCGAAATTGAATGCGTTTGATATTATCATAACACGTTAGAGATATTTTATTCATAAAATAATATTATCGTCGCGTTATCTTTGAAGACGTATCGTATAATACGTATACCTATGTATAGAATGTTTTAACTTAAATTACTAGCCATTTATTATTTTGACTTTCGGATGGGTGGCGGAGAGAGAGTGAGGGAAGGAAAAGAAAAAGATAAGCCTTACGGGAAAGCCTATGATACGGTAGCAGCGAAAGCAGGGTTCGTGCGAAGGTTTTTTTTTTTTTTATCCAGTTTAAGACGTCATAATAACGTCGTCGTAGACGATAAAAAAAAATATATATATATGTATAAAGGTAGGTGTGTATATAAAGGCGCAATGCGAATAAGCCGCCTAGCAAGTAAAGTAAAAAACAAAAAACCCGCGAAAGTATACCGCGAAGTTGTGTCGTTTCCATATTACAGTAAAAAAGGTCGTGATTTTTATATACGTGTACATAAATACGAAAGTTAGAAGGCGAGTTTTTCTATTTTTACTTTTTCGCGATAAAATACGATCTCGAAAATACAACAATACATATACAACGGTGACGGCGAAAAATAACCGTGATGGCGGATCGAGTGAGTACAATCATAATAATAATAATAATATTTGCAGAGAACAAAAATATATTTTATATATAAGGACGGAAGGAATATTGTATATTATTATACAACGTTAAGGGTTGGGGAAGTTTTGGGGGGAGGGGGGCGGAAACGAAGAAAAATAAATTCGTGCGCGCACACACACGCGTATTGTATTTATTATAAGCAAATATACACGGGGCAAAGAAGAGAGGCGAAAAAAAAAAAACGAGAGAGAGAGAGAGAGAAAAAAAAAAGAGTGTTCGGTGCCTATTTTTCAAGCTTCATTTCGCCCGAAAGAAAAAAGAACGCTGCGGCGGCGGAGGGTCGCCACCGCCAACCTCCCCGTCCCCTAGCCAACCCCCACCACCTCGCTACGGGTCGTTTGACAGTGTCTATTTTTCTCGTTTTCGTATTTTTCTCGCTCACTATCAGCGCGAGGCAACGCGCCGCCGCCTTCTCACCAACCACCCCTCCGTCGCGCCCGCGCCGACCGCGCCGCCCCTCGACGAGGGCCTGTGTGTGTGGGAACAATGTGAACTGCTACGACGACGGCGACGTGTATATATACACGCACAACACACACACACACACACACACACACACACACAGTTATAGACGTGGTGGGAGGGGGGGGGGGGGGGTTCGTTTTTAAAAGTTTCTTTTTGATTTTGACGTTGACAAATACACAACGTTTTATCATCAGTTGTTTGCCGCCGCCGCCCACGTATATATATATATATTTATACGTATATAGAGTGCAGCGCTACGCCGCGGCGTCCGTACCGCCGCACCGCAGCCATCGCGCGTTTCGGTATATATACGCGAACGCGCGCCCCGCTCGTGTGTGCAGCGATGTGCGTGCGCGCGCGAACAACGCTTTTTCATCTCTCTTCGCGTTCGCGCGCCACCGCCCCGCCGCGAGAAAGCGGCTACGGGGGATCGGCGGATTTTTTTTTTTTTTTATTTCCCGCGCGACACGATTGCCGCGAGCGCGCGCGCGCCGAAAACCCGGGAACGGAACGATGCGCGTTATGATTACAATATTCACCTCGCAATGCGCGCGATTAGTGTGACGTCATATTATCTGATCAAAATCCTTGTCGGGTAGGTATTGATATGTACGTGTTGTCGTGGCAATACACATTATTACGATTGGATCCAAACAAATAGAAAGACGGTCTAGTACCTACGATAATGGGGGTGCAACCACCTAATTTGATGTACGTCTGTAAGCAACGATAAACCATTGCTAACGAAAAACGATTCTGAGCGGAGTTCGGTTGATACGCTGCATTGTCAACAATATATGTCATATATTATATATATACATGTCATATTATAGTAAAATTTCAATTGTTCCAATTCCATAGTTAAAATGGATCCCGGTTTTCCCGTTTTTCCTCCGTTTTTTTTTTCGGTTTTTTCATATTTGTTGAGAAAACTCCTGAGAAAATCGAAAATCTACCTCTTTAAAGTACCTTTTAAAAATTTGCTATTATTATAAGTTTGAGCAAAATTGCTGGTAGAAAAGTGTCACAAAAGGTCACAGAAAGGTGCTACACATATAAATTGGGACATCATCTCTGGTCGAAGAGTTGTCCATAGAAAAAAAAAATAAATAAACATCTTTGTAAATACTATACGCTTTCTCACTCCATTTAGAATCTAATATGTGAATACAAATGCGATGCAAAGTAATAACTTAAAAATTGTTATATTCTACATTTTGAGTACTTATATACGTACTTATTTTAATATACCTAATATGAGTGTTTAAAAATATATTATGTATGTTTTTAAATGTACTATTAAATTATTTGGATCCAAACAGTAAAATCGTTATTGACAACAGTCTGATAAGAAGTGCATGACGGAAGTACTAATCGAACATGCTAAAATGCGTCGACACTTGCTGAATATATACAATAATGTTAAACTCGAAAATAAACTCGGATTAATAACTGACCAAATTGATACTCCGTCTTTGCTATCCCAAATCGATTTCAAACCTTCCTCGTTTCAAACTCAACTAATTATTTACAAAATGAGCCTCCTTGATGAGACATTTGATGATAATTTATTGTAATATTTTTCATTTTACTTATTTCATAACTATCCTTAGGATATTGTATATGTATGACTTATGTCTTATTGTACTGTTATTTAATGTTAAAAGGGGAAACCGGTAAATTTATAATAAATAAATTATTATTATCTCGACGGCCTATAAGATATTAGTTCAGATACACGTGACTTATCACGTAATTAAATCCCGTTTAATAACTATCGTATTATCGTCGACTTGGTTTTAATGTTATTCTTTTTTTTGGCAATTTCCGCCCCCCCCCCTCTAAATAATCAACACTCGTAATTATTATGTATAGGATCCGTGGTTTCGAACGTCCTAAAAAATTACTGAAAATTACTGTCAGCAATACGCTATTCTTAAAAAAGTCACCCTTGAATGCAAAATTAAAGTTTCGATTTTGTAGTATAATCTGTTGTTGCATATTGTAAAAATACCTTTTCTGATATTAATATTCTGTGATTTGTTCGCATCGTTTGTCTTTAAATATGCAAATTGTTTGCCTTGTGGTACTTTATTTGAAATACATGTTTGGATTCTCGAAAATTTTACTTAAAAATTAAAATTCTAGGTTACATTTGGTCATGAGGAGAAAAAGAACTAATATACTATAAACTGGTTTGCTATTAGATCCACCCAGAATCCGTTTTTATTGAAATGCATTATACTTATCCTTGCTTTCGTAGTATTAAACTAAATTACCTCAACTTTCCACCTACGGCAGTGGTCAATGTAATGGTCCGAAGTATGTTTAGTTTCGTTTTCGTTGTGCAATCTTGTATTTTTCTCTGCAGGTAAAAGAATGAGAAGTTCGCAATAATATCATTATGTTTATTTCCAGATCGGAGTTATGATTGTCGTTTGTCTTCGATGTATAAGACGGTCGACGTAGAATGCCTCGTTATAGTGAAATAATAAAAATAATAAGATGGAGAAATATAATATGCTGTCTAGGATTTATGCACTACCGAGAAAATAATATTATTCTCGTGTCGGACTGAGCAATGGTCCACAGCAAAATATCGGCTAAATTGAATGCTATAGTGTAGGTATAGTAGGTATAGTCATCATTCGGCTCCAGTATTTGAAAACACAAATTCCTTCCCACTTTGTACCAACTTAAGACTGTCTCAAAAGAGGTATGGTTAAAATGTGTAGGGTGGTTTTTGAGTTTTACGCTTTAAACAGTTACTAATCTCCCTCCTCTTTAAAACACTATCATCTAAATGCGAGTGTTTATGTCCCAGATGTTTATCGCAAGTATATTTCGCCAATGCGATTTTTCTTAAAGAAAGACTTATACTACAACCACGTGTTGTACATTTCCGCCGCTCTAACCCGGAAAGGGTATTTGGAAAGTGTGAGATTTTCCTATGAAAATCTTATCGAAGGCATCATTTTTCTAGAATAATGTTACTGGGGATAACATTTTCATAGTATGATCTTATCCCTTCCCCAATAATATTATCAGCCGTTATACCGATTGCAAGGTTATGTAAGCCATTCATTCAAATGGGGCCCTGTGTCGTGTTAAAAATAATAGACAATTATGGAAAGTAATAAAAAAAAAATTTACAAAGAAAATCGAAAAACTACTTTCCGATTGCATCCAAAAGTTTTTTGTAAAACTTTCTTTTTGTTGTTTGATTTGAACGAAATTTCCAGTAGAAAATTTGTTCACGGACACAAAAAATAAAAAAAACAATTTGCCCACTGCACATCACAGTTATAACCGACGTTTAATCACGTCAAAAGAATAAAAAGTCATCAAATCAAGCCAACCAATGCAAAATTCACTGCACAGGGTTTCGAAATTGTCCAAATTTTGATGTACAGTAATTTTTTGAAATTTCACAATTTTTTCCACGCGGATAATATATTTAGTTTTAAATTTCGATAAGTACCTACACGGTTTATTGATCGAGTAGTCGTGTGATTTTATTGTTAAGTAAAAAACAAAATTAAAAGTTTTATTCTGCAGGTATTAATACGCGACGACGACGGAGTTCCGCGCCTCGTTTTAATCTCGTAAAAGGTCGCGCGTACAGAAACGCTTTTGTTGTAATTAGATTAACGGACCGTCGTCGTCGGGGAATCGGGAAATTTTATCACTATAACGTAAAGGCGCGGAAATTTTCGAGGGGGATCCGAGAAAACCCAGAGAGATGTGCGTGATATTCGGGTCGACGAGTACCACGACAGTGGTTATGTACATAATATATTAGGATACGTATGTGTCAAACGGCGAAATACTTAGTTTTAAAGCGGCGGTATAATCGTTCGAAACAACGTCTTGCGAACAAGAAAATAAAAAAAAATAAAATAAAATAAACCGAAATTAGGCGAAAACTTCACGGGGTGGAAATATCGCGTAAAACAATAATAATAATAATATAACAAAAGCAGTACACCGACCGCGACGTCGACGATGAGACGTGAAAAATAAATCGTCCGGCTTCATTCTTCGTTTTGCAGTTCTCCCCTCCCCCCCTCTCTCTCTCTCACTCACTCTCTCTCGTTGTCGACAATATTACGACGACGACGTTGGTAGCGACGGTGATATTATTATTAATTAAAAACCGGCCGCCGCCGAGGGAACGATTTGTCAAGTCCTTTTTCGTCCCTTCCCGCACACTTAAAATATGATAATATATTTAATAGGCGTCGCGTCGTTTAGACGACGATATTCGCTCGATTATAATTATCGGTATTGTCGGAGGGGACACTATGTTTCAGGTATACCTAATCGAAAATACGATACATACTAAAGAAATATTCGTCAACGCCGACGACGGTGGCGGCGGTACTCCGTCATGGTGTACATACGGAGTCGAATTTCCCACCGCCTATTTTCTATTACTTATATAGAACATTTTTTTTTTTTCTAAAACAATAAATAACCCGATAAGTATAAATATAAATAATACTGCAACACTACTACTGGGTAGCATAAAACCTTTTATTAAATTAATTTAACGCCATAGGATTTATTGGATCAGAATATACAGTTTTAGAGATTCGTTTGGGTTGTATAACGGTTCGTTAAATATACGATCACTTGATTACCTATCTAGTCTTTGTAGTTTGTCGATCTTATCACCTGAAAATTTATGGCGTAAATATTGATCATCGTAATTTTATTTGTAAACGATTTATAATATTAACATATTCCGAAATAACCAAACATGAAAATTGATCCTCTTTGAAAAAATATAATTTTGTGATACGTCCAAAGCGATTTTAATATATCAGCTGAATATGTAAAGCTAAAACCAGCTAACAAATGAATTTTTACATTTTTTATTTAGTTGCATTCGGGTCTTTAATTTAGTAATTTATACATTTTACCGTCAATTTATTATATATGTACTAAAATGATTTATTCCTTTCAAAAAATGTTCGCATAAACGGCAGGAACGCAAGTAAATGTCCCAAAAGGTGTAGGACACTTTTGACACCAATAATATATTACGTGTACAAAATATAATTTTCCTAATTTAATAAGGGGAGAGGGGGTCTTTAAATATGTTTGAAAAATACCTCCTCCCTTCCGAAATCACATGCTGGAATTAGTGGAATGCACCATAACTCTTATAATCACTTTGAACGGTCTAAATAAAACGGCTATAATTCCTTTGGGCTGAGATAATTTGGTACAGAGGACTAGTAAAATCGAGGGAAAAAATATTATACCCCCTAAATATGCGGTCACGTGATCGCGGGACTCGATAATCGTACACACGTTCAGAACCCCTTATCGTTACCTATATATATATATTCTTCTTGTCGTCGTAATATTGGGTATATTATTGATGTTTTGATTGAAGACGCTTTCAATAAGCCGAGTGGCTTGGCCGCCAAACGGTCGCGTATAGATATGATCGTCTGCGTATCTGAAAACGCGTCGCCGAAAACCGATTACCTATCAATCTGGCTGTATACAGACTGATGCCGTCCAGACGATAGTTATTCGTTTTCGAAGATAATTTATTATTGTATTGTACGATGTATGCGTAGCACCGTGTACCTATAAATGCCGTGTCAATATTTACGCATTGTCGTCGGTGATATATTATTTTAATCTCAGTCGATTTAGTGATACGCCGTGATGTGGGCGTAATAGGGAGTTAACCCTCGCGCAACACGAATGATGAGTATTTCTTTAAACGACTGTACATCAAAGAGTATCATATAGTCGAATTGCGCTTTTCACCTAAACAAAAATAGGTAGTCGAATTTCACTACTGTTAAAAAAACGTAATGGTCGAACTGCATTGAAATCGAAAACGTTTTTCAATTAGCTATATTGTATAACTTTTTACCACGCCAATGAATAAATATAAGAACGAAGGGAAGAAAGATTACTATTTGTTTACAAATTTTAAATTAAGTTTGTTTTTTTAACATTTTTGTTGAAATACCTTTTTTGATTTTGCCCATTTTTGACTCGAGTGCTGTTCGACTATTATCTGTTTTACTTAAGGCAAATGCAGTTTGACCTTATCCATATCGAATAGGTACCTACGTTGTTCCCGTATATAGGTGTGCATATCTCGGTTTGCAGTTAAATAATTGACAAAACCGTATTTTGGTCACAGAACCTGGAAAACGAGTCCAAAATTGAATTTCACTTAAAACTTAGCAATCGACGACGAACGATGGATTAACATCAACAAATAGGAATATTATTGTTTGTTGTTAAAACTCACGGATGGAGTCCATACGTATCTATCTGTTCTATGAAATAAAATGCCTTTATCGTGTGTTCACGATATGAATTATCACCTGATACATGGACGATCTTGGACTAAAATGGATTATTCAAGAGTTGATAGAGATGAGTACCAAGATACAGATTTTTAAGACTTTTGGTACACGTTCGCGCAGTACAACTTACTTTTTTAAACGATAACTCCAATTTTTTCCACATATTGGGGTAAAGTTATTCTTTTAACATTTTTCCGTTTGAAACGTTTTTTTATATAAATTTCAATATACAGTGTATTGAAATTTAATCTGTGTACAAATAGCATATAGGTATTATAATAATATCCAGAATAGTCGATTGTAAATTATTATTGTTAACGTTTTGTTATAAGCGAATCGTTTGGTTATATTATATTTTAAAATATCCGGTGGCAATTCGCCAATTTTTTAATATTAGAAAAAACCACTTTAAACGAAAATTGTTAAAAAAAAAAAAATAATAATAATAATAACCTAACCGATTCTGTAGAAAAAAAAGAGTAAAAAAATAAGTTGTACGTAGCACGTGCGTACTGAAATGGTTATATATTTTAAATTTATTTGAAAATGTGTGTTCCGCGGTATAATCTGTCCGCTCTACCATTTCAATCCAAGCACCGAAATATCGCGGACACGAGATATAAAATACGCAAACGTGTGCATAATGTTATTGTACTGCATTCGTGTAGCTCGAGTATGTTATCATTGTAGCGGTTTGCTGATTTTGCCACCGGTGGCGAGAGAGATAGAGAGAGTTAGAGAGACGAGAGAGGGCAGTTAAGTACGTATACGGTGCGTCGTTGGCGCGCGAAATAAAGTGCACCCCGGCCCTCAAGGTCGACCGCTAAAATTTATGGCCCGGGGATTCGAATCCCGTCTTCCCTTCGACGCCGCTGTATTACGTATATACATGTAGAGATATACGCATTTCGTGCCCCCTGTATATGTATACAAAAAGAGTCTCCGCTAAAATTTGTGACCGGGTCAAAAGCGTTAACCCGCACGACCGTTTATTTCGAAACGCGTTGACCGATATATTTGTTGGCGGCATTCGACTTTTTGCCGATAAAGCAGCGGCAGCGTTTCGTCGATTGAGACGTTTTACATTTTTTTTTTTTTTTTTTACCGTCTCCTTTCCTCTCTTCGTGTCAGACCGTTTCTGCGGTCTGCAACGACGTGCGTGGTACAGGACTTTCTGAAATTCGACCTGAAAAAAAAATTACATATTGTATCGATTACGGACCGAGCGCGAATGAGATAATATAATATTAATCGTTGCAATTCGTTTTCGTTAAAACTTCGGGAAAGATCACGAGCGTGATAATTGCGGTCGGAAGAAAACACTTCAAATACAAATTTGATTGTTTGTCATTTTTATACACATGTACAATTTGTGTTCCGAACTTTAAACACTCGGCATTCGAAACAAGAGGAAAGTCATTGTTTATGTTTTTCATCGCGGAATTCAATCACTCTTAAGGATGGCGTGAATTATGTTATCCAAATGCGAATTGTATTTTGTTTTTTTTTTTTTTTTAGTTATCTCGGTGATACGGATGATAAACAAACAGATAAACAGTAGTCTTAAATTGGACTTTAGCATTTTATAGCGCGAAGAAGAAGCTATTATAGTTTTATAAAGATGAGGGTTTTTTCTCCTCGAAAAACACTTATTCCACAATGTAGATATTGTCGGCAATCCAGCAAAACTCGATAGTTTTCGTTTTTTCCGTAAATAATTTCTACTACCAGAAATCTCGCTCCAATCAAAACTTTTTATATGAACATTATTGTAGCCTTTATTGATCAAGTCGATACTTGCGAGTTTTTAGCTGACGATATGTATAATATTGTAGGTTAATAATATAGGTAGGCCGTTTCTTTTTGGATAATCCGATCTAACGGCGGCGGTTGCAATTATTGACGTCTAATAAAATGTCCAATACGCGTGTAGATCGATTCAAAAATATTGAAAATTACCGTGTAAACTATAATAGAACGTACGACTTAGTATCTCTTTTTCTTTTTTTCTTTTTTTTTTGTTGTATATTATGAGTTTTTAAGCAATTCAGCAAAACACATTCGAACTCGCAATTATTCGGTTCTATATTGATAATAATATTATATTATAACGCGCGTGACCTATTCGGTTGCTATTACCACTCGGCCCGGGGATTAGGATCGTATTGCCATTATATATTAGACGGATTTTTTTTTTCTCTCGCACGAACAGAGTGCTCGATATTTTGTTATATTATATACGTTTTTACGCGAATTACAATAAAAACAGCGATAAATCTCGTTCGGGAAAAGTAATATAATATATTTGTATTTTTTTTTTTTTTGTCATTTCGCGCTGAGTGTCGCGCACGTTTTTCGCGCGCAGTGCCGATAATATTTATAATAATAATATATAATTCGAGCGCCCGAAACGGCATCTGTCAACCATCCCTACCGTCTTTCGCTGCATGAGTGCGACAAAAAAAAAAAAAAAAATCGATTTCCTTTAAGGACCGTGAAATTAATAGCGATTTGTAATAAAATGATATATATATATATATGGAGGATGTGTTTTTTTTCCCCCGCAGCAGCCGTCTTCGCCCGGATCCCGGGAGCCCGGCAGGACACGCGAACTGCACGACGATACGCTGCACATGCCCGAGATTTCGTTTTTGTTTTTCCCCCGGACATCTGGACGCCGACGCCACTGCTGCCGCCGCTCCCGTTTCCGAATATTTTCGATTCTACGGGAAGACCCCGTCGTCGCCGGCCTGCTGTTTCAATAATAATACATTTATATATATACGAGTGTATGGGGGGAAAACTTCCCGCGCGTTATTAAGAATATCTGTCCCCGTACGCGTGTCGCATCGGGGGACGAAATCGCACCACTGGAGTGGACGGGAAAACGTGAAAACGAAAATGACGCGGTAAAATTATTTCACGCGTCGTCAAAATATCAACGATTCCACGTCGGATAATAATAACGATACGTACGCGTTTTACGATTTTATGTGAACTGCATTTATAATTACGCGTACGTATAGATAAATTAAGAGTATTATTATTGCGCCGTCCGTGCAGAGAATATTTTTTTATTAGTAAGACAAAATAATGATTCAGGAAGACTATGAGAGTATTTCCCTGTTATTGTTTTGTACGAAATCGATACTATTAATTGTTTAACGTTGTAGATACTTCGCCACAAAAAAAAAAAAAAAATATTCATAATAAAATGATAATGCCCCTGTTTAAATCATATACCTAAGTGCGTAAGTAATACACTGATAAAAACGAACTACATTTTATACACATGACCACATACTGACCATAAACTTACGTATTATTAGTATTATTATTCCTGTTTACAAAAATCACTTCTTACAATATAAACACGCGGAAAACGAATAACGATTGTTAAATTAAAGTGTTTCCTTTACGGACTACACCGAGACGTTGTACGCTCGTTTTATAAATATATATATACACATTTTATTTTTTATTTTTTTTTTTAAGAACCGTAAATTATCATTAAATAGTTTTCGCACGCTTAATATAATGCAGCCCTTTCAGAATCGTCGAGCATTAAAAACGTTTTAAAAAACGTTTGGTGCAAATGTTCGCGAGAGTTTAATTGGGTAAATCATGACTAAACGAGTGGTATTTTTTTTTCGTTTTGGTTTTATTCTCACCTGGAGAAATATTTTCGAAAGTATATATAAAATAATTATGTTACCGTTGAACGTTTCACTGCCGCCGTCGCTGCCTCCGCAATTGATATTTTCACGCGGTTTAACTTTTAAAATAAATGTTTTAGTCAGGGTTACAGAAAAAAAAAAAGCCAACAAAATATTTTATTTCAAACAATCAACATTTTTTAATATATATATATATATATATATATATATATATATATATATATATATATAGTCCTGAACGAACAATGCTGTTTTTTTTCTTTTACTCTGTATTTCCGTAAATCATAATAAAAAATAAAACGTTAATAAAAAATGTTAATGTATGATAAATAAATAGCTCAATGTAGAACACCAGAAACATTCTAAAAAAAAAAATACGAAAATATACTTAATATCTCTAGAAAAAAAAATATTTCAAAAAACATGCTAATAACTGATCTTATAGTGTTAGATATCATATTATACAATAATAGTATCTACACAGTAATTTTATGAAATATTATAAAATTAAATGTAGTTTTTCGTCTTTCTTTGAAATCGTTACAATTTTAAAATGTATGCCCTTTATGTACATTTAGCGATCCATATAATATTATCTAGATTTGTAATTGTCTTTTTTTTTTTTCTGTATTATCGAACTTTGGCGATTTCTCTTTTGATATTGTCTCGCGTTCGTTTTTATTTTAGTATTGATATTTATCCTGCTTCTATATGTATAGATGTATAAATTACTATAATATTTTATTCAATACTAAATAATAACAGTTTTTTTTTCTGTTTTAAATACCTAGTACGATTTTAGATTTGGTGGTTTTTTTTTTTTTTTTTTTAATATTTTAATATTGAATTTTAAATGATTTGAATAGTTATTTTTTTTTTTTTAAACTGGTTTCGAGTCCCGTTTTTTTAAGCCGCGTCATATTCTCTGCAGTGTAGCGGTTCGATATACGCGTATGATTATTGAATGGCCCAATAATACAATTTATCATTACGATATACATTAATTAAAATTGTTTTCTCAACTTAATTTTAATTTTTGTATAGCGAATTTGTGTTTACGGACATTTTTACCTTGTTAAAAAACAAGACAAATCTTCATCATAAAACCGCTGGCTTCAAACAATGTGTATTATATTTTTGTTATATATTGTCATAGTTTCGTACCGTCCCGCATCATATATGAAAAATAATACTATATATTTTACTCGAAAACTTTGTTGCTTAATGACATTGAAATATTTTGAAAACTGCACTATGTCTAAAAAGCGCTAAAATAAGTATTCGGCGAAAGTTTATCAAGTTTCTATACTAAATCACAAAAGAAAAAAAGACGAAAAATAATATATCGTTAATTTGACAACAGCTACCGAACTGTAGACCCCGTGCAAAATATAACATATTCTATAAGAGCGAATTTAGAAAAAAATAATGGAGTAGTGGGGGAATGTGATTTTTGAAACTCATATAAAGCACGCGTTTATGACGAGCTTGATGACAAATAGAGCTAAGGCGTTATTATTGGTGAGCGAAAGGATTATTCAAAATCGTGTAATTTTTTTTTTTACATTCGTGTTGATAATACTTGTAAAATTTGCTTTTTCTATACTTATATATTATTGATAATAACTGTTTTCCCAGCACAAGTTTGGTTTATAGGGTGTGCTTCAATTTAATTTAATCTCTGTGTAGTGCCCATCAAACGTATCACCAGTTGTTCTTTGCAAATACATTGTTATTATTATTAAGGAACGGATTAGTATGTAATTAAAATTCGCAAAAAAAATGCTTAAATCGTCAAAAAAGCACTCACAAATATTCAAAATAGCAAAAGTGAAAAAACGGTTTTAACCTTATAAAATACAATTTTCTCACACTGACAAAAGATTAAAACAAAGCATTTTTTTTTTTTAATAACACGTATAACAATATTTGAAAAAAATTATTCCGTAATAATTATTTTTTTTTTTTTTTTTTTAGTGTTGAAAATTTATTTTTAATAAGTTAGAAACAATAGACGGGCAAACTTTTAAACCCATCTACTTTTATTGTTCTTTTAAATATTTTTTAAGTGATTTTTTATGATTTTATGACGATTTAAGCGTTTTTTTATGCATTTTAAATACATATAAATCCATTTCCGAATTATTATATTATAGTATTATTAAACTAATCTATTACACTGTGCTCTGGTCATATACGGTAAATGATAATATATACTATACATGCAATGTATATTATGTATATATACTAAGTCGTTTTGATCTTTAACTTTTTGAAATTAAACCTGGAAATCGCTTCCTTGCGGTCTCAAACTTATCTAAAACAAAAAATTTTAGAACTTGCCCATCGCATATTTAGTGTTTCCATTAAATAACATATAGGAGAGTAACGACACTTTTAATTAAATCACATTTACTCGTTTAGTTCGAAAGTTACAAGGTTTTACATAGTTTTTTCTTAAAGATCACACTAAAATGTAATAGATTCATTTGGAACCAAGTAAATTCTCAGATTTCTTTTTTATTATAGTTTATGGAGTTGATCTATAACCAAGGACTGTTAGGAAGGTCCTTTCGTAACTCACAAAATTAATTTTGTTCGAAAACGTTTTGTTCAAAAAGTGGCAGTGTTATCCAACTTTATGATATCTATAAAAAAAGTTATAAAAACTCAATTTGTATAGATGTACACAAATGAGCTATTCTTATAACAGTAAAATATAACATAAAATATGTATATATATATAATTTAACATATAAGTATAGCAGCAAAATTTCACTTTATATCAAGTGAATCTTAAGTATTATTTTGTGATCTTCAAAAAAAAAACTATGTACAACCTCGTAACTTTCGAACCTAATGAGTAAATGTGATTTGATTGAAAGTATCGGTACTTTCTTTTACTAATTTTTTTTTTTTAGGGGGTAAGTATTGAGACCGCGAGGGAGCAATTTCCAGTGTTGATTGGAAAAAAAAAAGTTAAAATCAGTGCAGTAAACGGGGGTGGGGGAGGAGGGGGGGGGGTTTCCGGTCGGACGGAAAACACTATAGTATATTATTGTACTGTTGTCGCGGACTGCGATGCGCGCATTATCGCGGCGGATAAAAAAAATCGAAACAAAAACGCGGGCGTTTTCGAATAATTCACGGCTAGGGCTTTTACGGACTGTATAAGGCTGGGGATTCGACTCCATATACGCGCATCCGGGAAAAAGACGCCG